AGGGTCATCAGTTTACATAGGTCCATACTTCTCTAGAGGTCAAAAGCGCCTCCATCCGAAAAGACCATAAACTATAGTTCTCATCTGTTAGCTGTGGGAAGACCAGAGCCTTCTCAGCTTCAGGAACCCGGTCAACCATTCTGGAACTCTTCCAGACCCACAAAAACTACGCTAACAGGAGAAGGAGTTTTCAAACCTTTCTCAAGTCCAAAAATATGCAGTCATCCACTCAGCAGCTGGGCCCATAACCAAAGATGTTGGCTTTTGCAGGTATAGTGACGCTGCAGAGAGCTTGCTGGGGAGATCATGCATTAAAAAGAAGGACTCAAAAATAACTTAAAGAAGGTTTTAATAAGAAAAACAAAAACCCATTAACACTAAATATATTAACAAACAACATGACCCAACCACCAACCCATCCCCCAGGGTAATGGGAGAGCTAGGTGCTGCTCCTTATATACTACACTCAGATGCTGACACACCTTAATCAAATACAACTCAGCAGCACCTGCTATGTTACACAGCTGTAAAGCTGGGTCTCGTTAGTTTGCTCTGGCCCTTGCTCTGGCCCCTTAAAGACATACACATGGAGTGAACAATGATGAACCTTTACATTTAAAGAAACCATTCAACAATCCCACCTGAGGGAAGGCAAAGCCAAGCCTATGCTGATGGGGCCGCTCCAGATCCAGAGGCTGCGCGCGTCCACGCAAAGGGCGCCCCCCGTTTTAAGCGGGGAGCGGTCACTACCCTAAGGAGTCTCAAAGCGGCTACCATTCTCCTTTCCCTTCCTCCCCCACAACAAACACTCTGTGAGGTGAGTGGGGCTGAGAGACTTCAGAGAAGTGTGACTAGCCCAAGGTCACCCAGCAGCTGCATGTGGAGGAGCGGAGACGCGAACCCAGTTCACCAGATTACGAGTCTACCGCTCTTAACCACTACACCACACTGGTGTAAGATGCAACGCGGAAAAATAATTTCCTGGTGTTCTCAAGCTAATCCACATTTGTGAAATTCTAGAAGTGTCATCGCCATGTCTAGAGGATGGTTACACATCTTTCCCAAAGTAACTATTTTCCAGTCTCAAACAAGGAGAGGTCCTTTTGGCATCCCATGTAAACATAATTTTACTGCAGTGCAAGAAAACACAATGCGTGGGGCAGAGATGCAGGCAGTTGCCAGGGAAATCCAGCCAAAGTAATCAGAGAGATCCATGTTGTGATCAG